TTTTGTACCGAAATAATTGTGAAGTTACAGCTGTGAAATTCAGTTTTCTAGACCTAGAAAAAGTTTGGAAGGGGTGGAGAAGCAGAAATATAAGAAGGTGGGAAAGTGGGTCTACAGAAAAAAGGAATTGATTCCTAGTGGATAAGAGGATGAGCAGTTTACAAGTTACAGATTGTTAATGTCTTTACTGGATACCATAATACTACTGGTTTCCTGACAGAAAGCAGGTAATGGGAAAGGAATAAAAATACTCAACTCTCAGAGTAATTACTGCAGGCTTCCTCTACAACCCAAAATTTAAGTCTATCTGATTTTTCTCACATGGAAATAATTCAGCACTGGCACTTAAAATGAAATGCTAATTATATATCTCTCTCTCTCTCTCACTATTTCCAGCGTGAGTGTTCATAGTATTGAAAATATGCACACAGCGTGGTAGGTGCAGCATCCCTCCCTGCCCCAGTCTGTATGGAATATCCACTCTTAACACATTGGTTAAAAGATGAGGTGAGGAAGATGCAGGAAGCTTTGCACTTATTTTTTTGCTGGGTTCATGAAATTCTCACTGGTAGCTTCAGTACCAGCCAGGCCCTCAAACCATAAAATGCCTTCTTTAAAAATTCTTTTCCTTACAGATGTTGTCCCTTGGGCCACTGGCAATAACCATTGTGACCATATTCTACATATTCCACATACCTTCACTGTGAAATCCCAGATATTGGGTGATCCTTAAAACTCCCCTCCCCTATTGTATTACCTGCTACAGGTAGCCCATTCCCCTTCCACCAAGAGGGAATAAAGGGAGAGAAGAGTAGGAAGACGAGCACACTGTGTAATCATGGAAACTTTGTTTTCTTCAGCAGTCAGACAAAAACCACTGCCAGACTGAAAAAAATATTTGTGAGACCATCAGAGCATGGCAATAGCTGCAGACACAGTATCTTACATCTTGCTGGTTTAGTCTTCATTACAGTGCACCTCCCTCCCTATTAGTGTGGCAGCTCATGTGCATGACAAGGACATCAGCTGCTACTTCTGAGTGTGTGAGAGAAAAAGAGAGACAGGTAAAGAGGGAGGAAACAGAGAACAGCACAGGCAGGACTTGAGTGAATGAGAAAGACATTATGACCATATTTTCTCATTTATAAGGTACATCATCCCAAGCTAATTTAAAATAGTGAGGAGACAATCCAAGAACATGTGAGTAGATGGATTTTTTGGTGCTATAAAAAAATAAATAATATTTTTCATCAGCATTCTGTGCTTTTAATCTGGTGATTCCTCATCAGAGTTAATTGTATAGGCACAGAGGACACTGATGAGCTCACAAAGGTCTTTATTTTGAAGATAGCCAGAGACATAGTCTAGCACATCTCTGTGTGGTCCTGTTCGCATGCTTGACACACTTCATATCCTACCCTGGACAATTTACTCACAGTTTTGAGGGTGATTGTGTTTTTAGCCTGGCCCTAATCACTCCTTCCTCTTGTCACACCTTTATCCACTGAGACATCACTTCCACACAGCATTACTGGTGTCCAAAAGCTGGAGCTGTGTGGTGAAATGTGCCTGGGGGAGTGTCTGCTCACAAGTCATCTTGTATGTCTGTGTGATTATAAACTGTTTGTTTTCCCCACTCATGTATACAAAAATTTGTGTTCTTACCTTTCTGATGCACATTTAAACCACATTTTTGGATCTTTCTTCTGTGTGCAAACACTCCCTGCCTGCTTTGCTCCCCTTTCTTCACTGGGCATGGAAGTGAAGTCCATAATAACCAAATCATTCTTACTGTACTATAGATATTTTAAAAATATTTTAAAAGTTAATTTTAGTCACAGAATGATTTTCACGAGAAATTATGCATCATTGCACATTGTGCTTGTGATTTTATACAACATAATTACACCTTCTATTGACAGTTTTCTCTGCATTAATGGTAATTATGCCATTTAATGAAATTACAGTAATTGCATTAAAAAATATAATCTGGTGTGAATTAAAAGGATATATTGACCAGAATTTTTACTATCACATATATATTTTGTTAAAGTTTGCGTGATAGGTGCAAGAGACATTGACAGGATCAGGCAAACGATAAGAAATCAGCCACCATAGCACCTCTGGTGTGACTGGCAGTGCTCACTGCTGAATTCCTTCAGGGTCCCTGCACACTCACCCATGCCAGAATACTTCATTTTTACTGGCAGCATTTCCCACTATATCAGGTTTAGTCTTCTTGCTAATCAAGGCTGCTGCCAGGGTGGGTACAGGTGGGAGCAATTTTTCTGGCTCAGCCCTCACTGGCAGCCTGGCCCAGCCAGCCAAGGAATGCAGCAGGTACAGGCAGCATTTATGTATTTTGCAGTGACATTGCAGTGTGTCTGCTAATTATTTTATGATGGCTTAGTACTGGGAGGAAGGGAAGGAATATGTGGTGATGCTGCATAATGTGTTGGAAATGTGGAGTTTCTGGTCAAACCCACTGCAGTTATTTAATGGTGGGCAGCTGGGAAAATGACAGGCATGGGATCATTTTGGAGCACTTTGTGCTTCCCAAAAAGCCAGCTGATGCAAGAGTTGGGAAGCTCTGGGGGTTGGGGCTGCAGCAGCAAACCCAAACTTAAGCTTTTGGGCTCCTTGCTGCGGGAGTGTGATTTTAGCATCCTTCTCTGTTGAGATCTCCAAGCTTTTTATATCCAGAGAGGGCTCAAGGATGTCCTCTTGTTTGGTACTGGCCTCTTGAGCTGTGGGAACTGGAAGCCTGAGGAGTCCCAGGGCAGCCTGTGTGAGGCTGCAGGTATGTGCATTGGTGTGCCAGTTTGCTTCAGGCTTAATTCAGAGTAGTAGCAGAGGGATAGGTCAGACTCTGCAGCCCATGAACTTCTGGGCGCCTCCACTGACTGTGCCATTGAAGATGCTGCCACTTCAGCTTGTGATATGGGAGCTGGATCTAAACCAACCAAACTCATCTCATAGAGAAGACACCAATCATCTTACAGGACATGAACCATTTTTGACCCCTGTTGAGCTGGGCTATATTTATAGTGATGAACTGTGGTCAAAAGGCCATTAGCTTGTTGACAGTGTCCTTTAAAATTGCTAATTGCCTATCAGTAAGAGGGAAATGTTCTTTTTCCCTCAGGAAAGATGTTTATTAACTCAAAATCTAAGCCTTCTGGGGTTTATTTGGGGTAAATCTCTCAGCCTGCATGTGGACTAGTCTCTCCTGCATGTTATGGTTTGGCTTTCCCAAGCAAAGCACAAAATGTTCCAGCCCTGTTTGTACTGAGCATAATTCAACCCTGGACATGACAACAATACACGGGTAAAACATCCAATTTAACTCCTGCATTGTTTTGCAACACAGTGATTTATTTTATTTTATTTTTCCTTGATGGGAGGGGAGTTATAGATCAATAAGGGGACATTCTTGGGATGAAAGTTTCACAGGGAACATGACAAATCTACGGAGAAGGGAGATCAGTAGCAGCTATGAAATCCAAGCAGCTGCGGATAGAGACTGTCACCAAACATGTCGTGGACCTCTGGCCAACCGAGCAGAGGATAGAGGTTAAATTTAACTGAGACTTTTGATTTAGCAGTAGATGGCAATAATTCACTTTCCTATAGGCTAGGGGAGGAAGATGTGCTCTCACATGAGCTTCCTTAAAATA